ATTTTTAAAGTATCAAATAGAAATTTTTGTTCAATAAAAATCTTTCAAATACGACTGTAGCTTTTTTCCCCCCAAAACTTTGTCTTAAAAATAAGGGGGCCCGGCATGGCCAGGTGGTTAGGGAGCTCGACTCGCAATCTGAGGGTCGCGGGTTCGAATCCCCGTCCCACCAAACATGCTCGCCCTTTCTTTATTACATATGTTAATATTACAATGATATGCTCTAAACAAAAGTAAAATAAGATTTTAAATAAAAAAAATTATCAAGTATAATTAAAAAAAAAAAGCTGATGCGGCCAGATTTTACAGCTCAACAAAATAGACGTTATTTAATACTTCTTACCGTATATTATCATCTTCTTCTTCTGTAGATCTTCCCCTGCCCTTGATAATACATTACATATGTACGTCCCTGACAGATCTGTGGTAGGGTTAATGATATTTATGGCTCGGTACCTGGTGTACTCGTTGGACGGAGAAACACTATAATCTAGGTTTACTCTGCCTTGTAAACGGTAAGAGAAATATCTGCTTCCAAGTTCCGGGATCCACTGGTAGATCGGTTCTGGATCGTTATCAAGAAACCATTTCACCACGAGATGATTGTCTTTCATGGTGAAGTCGTATTCACAATCCAACACCACGGACTCCTGTGATCCGTTCCTCAGCCACGCTGGGACTGATAAACGAGTTATCTTAAGAGCTCCAGAATCTAAAAGAAACGAAATTGGTTGATTAACTCCTGTCAGTTTAGATGAATCTTAGGTTCTGGTTAGAGAAGGTGAAACGGACAGAAAGTCTGAAATCTATTCACTATACTGTATAGAAAAAATTTGGTTCTATCATTAATACCCGAAAATAAACTGATTAAAACTCGTTGTTGTTAACCATCAGATCAACACAACTAAATTAACTGACGTAAAGATACTCTAACTGGTAGTGACTGAGTTACTTGTTAATGGAAAGCGATTTTCTATTTTCAAGAGTGGATGAAATTGCATGACTTGTTATATATTGGGTATTTCGTTATTCTTGTGTACCTTGAATTCATGTAATAAAACGTGACATTTTCAAAATAGAACAACTTATTCTGTCTTAGCTTCGTGTTTTGTTTCTTAAGTTGTAGTGACAGTTAACGATGATTAGATTTACACTGAAACACAGTGTAAGCACATAGTGTAAAACGATGTTCCTTTTTTTTTTCAAAATTTTACAAAACTAATTATATTTTCAAGAAGTCTCAGAAATTGAAAGGGAAAAAAATGAATTGAATGTCTCAAAGGGTCAAAGGTGTTTCATGCTTAAAAAATACGGCAAAAATACGGTATGAACGGCAAGTATTTATTTTCGAGAATTATATTTTGCCATTGAAAAAAAATAGAGCAACTTGTCTTTCTCTTTATACTTCCCAAACTCTAACCGTTTAACGAGAGCGATATTCAGTCTGTTAGAAATCGATAAATGAATGGTTAGATATGCTATAACACTAACACATCCGTATCGATGTTTTTTACCTAAAGTAATAAACGAAGTTAATTCAGATTCGCACATTTGTATTTTATTTCTAATTGAAATTATATTACCGTATTTTTCGGAATATAAGACGCACCCTTATTTTGTTTGTTTGAATTTTTGCGCAAAGCTACGCGAGGGCTATCTGCGCTAGCCGTCCCTAATTTAGCAGTGTAAGATTGGAGGGAAGGCAGCTAGTCATCATCACCCACCGCCAACTCTTGGGCTACTCTTTTACCAACGTATATTGGGATTGACCGTCATATTATAACGCCCCCGCGGCTTAACACAATGGGCTATCTGTGAGCTGCCTACCACGGGTATCGAAACCCGGTTTCTAGCGTTGTAAATCCGCAGACATTCCGCTGTGCCACTGTGGGGCTTGTTTGAGGAATAAAAATAGAAAGCTAACTAATTATTTTTAATGTCTGAACCAGTTTGTTTATTTGTTTTTTAGCTCAAAGCTGCACAAGTCTGTGCTATGTCCACCGCGTGGAATCAAACCTTGGATTTTAGCGTTGTAAGCCCGTAACCTTACTTTTAAGCCACTGGGGGAAAACTTCTGGATCAAAATCTGGGGTGTTCTACATGTAGTTATCGGGAGAGGTAAGTTTACAGGTGTTCTACGTGTAGTTATCAGGGGTTAGAGGTAATTTTACAGGTGTTCTACGTGTAGTTATCAGGGGTTAGAGGTAATTTTACAGGTGTTCTACGTGTAGTTATCAGGGGTTAGAGGTAATTTTACAGGTGTTCTACGTGTAGTTATCATATTCTTGTTAATTGGATACTATAAGGTCGTAAACACGTACTCATCCTTTAACTTAGGTTAAGGTTGCACAAAGGAATGCCTAGAAACTTTTATCATTTCGACCCTGTTACTGTATTCACATCCTGGGGGAGGAAAGAGTAAGCCCATCTCAAGAGGGCAACACGGTTTCTTGTACAAATTGTTATGAATTGGAGATTTCCTCTCCTGTATGTGTTGTGTGGAATAGTTGGTGATGTATGTAACTTTGGGTTATGGGATACTACACTTGGACCCATGTGTTAATTCCAAAGACGGGTAAAATATAATTGTTACTGCCCCAATATAATTGTTACTGCCCCATTCTTGTACGGATTTTTGTTTAGGAAGACACTTATCCAGCCTCTGAAGCAACTGAAGTCACAACAGAATTTGATAGGCCGATCAGTAACGTAAATACCCTACACAGTTTTAGGAATAAACGCTTATTTTATTTGTTAACTTGTGGTTGTTTCTTTTTCATTTTCCTGTTCGATTTGCTATCTACATATAATTTTTGGAACTTGAGTTTTGTTAATATCAGTGTACCTGAATCTAGAACTACAAAACTATGTTAAAGAATCGGTGTTTTTTTTGTTATCGTATAGTTTCTGAAGAAAGATCGTTGTTAGGTTCATTTAAATTATGAAGACAGTAAGCCAACATTTACTTAAGTATACGAAACTTTGCAGAACATTCGGTTTTGGTTTCCTTTCTCTGTTCACGGAAGCCATTTTTGGTGTATCAGAAATTTATAAAAATAATAATATCATACACTAGAATGCACCAAAGGCAAGGTTTGTTTATTGTTTGTCTGGTTGAGATTTCCTTAGAATTCTAACTCCAGAATTAGTACACTCGGTAACAAAACATTTCCTTTTCATATCTAATGTGATTATATCTGTGAACTTTGTTTGTTTGTTTTAAGTTAAGCACAAAGGGTGTTCTACATGTAGTTATCGGGGGAGGTAATTTTACAGAAGTTGTTACATGAAAATGCTAAGAGACTTACAGTTGGATTTACCTTTTTAATAATGACTAGGCAGTCTCGCACTTACGTTTGAAGGATGTAGTGATCCTTGACTTATGAGTACTCAGATCAAGTTTATGACAAATGTTGGTGGACAGTTGTAGATATAAATTTCCTGAATATACCAGCGATTTTGCGCGTAAATCTGCGAGATTTTTTGTTTGTGTTGTTATGCACGTTTGAGATGAAAGTCACGTTTACTTATTCCACACTCTTCCTCAAGATCAATCAGGGAGTTTTGCTCAAACACAGCATGACAAATTAACACCTACTGTATAAATTAGGCTAAATATACATAATTTTGCTAAATTTCTGATTTTCCTACTTTTCGTGACTTAGCAGATATAGCATTTATTTCACGGCACCTAGTACTACTAGAATAAGCACATAGTTCTGGCTGATTAAGTTGCAAAAGTAATTTTTCTGTTTTCTCTTGTGCACATACTGAGGCCTAGCAAAAGGTTTGGTACTCTTAGAGAGCACGACTATGGTGGTGTTGGTTACCATGGAAACCAGATTTCCTGCAAGTATATGTTGGTTAATATTGATGGTGGATACATAAGTTTGGCAGAACTCGTGTGTTTTCCTTGATATATTTGAACCAGGTTGTGTACGTTTAATTATGTACAAAAATATGATATATACGATAGCACAACTTTTCAGGCTAATAAATAATTTTGTCTTGAAGTATTGGCTATAATGATTAGCTGGAAGGAGCTACAGTTTTAGCTTGGAATACTTTAGTATATGAAACACGATTTGTTCTGTGTTCCTTAATGCTAGTAAATAGTATGTATATATATATATATATATACAGTTTGTCCATAAATCGAGGTATCCGTAAGCATGATGTTTCTCACTGAGAGAAAAAACATGGAGTTGTTATATAGAGGGTTGAATATATTATATGGAAATAAATTTGAATATACATATTAGCAAGGCATGTGACAACCACAGCTGATATAAAAGTTGTGATGGAGCAGTATGTATCAGTATCAAATTTTGACAGTTTGGTGTGGCGTAGGTAGTGTAATGCTACTGAAACTTTATTGCTTCTAGGAAGGGTAGGTAACAACCTTTTCCAATGCAATATATTCCTACACTCAATTTATAAAGATGTGTTCATATCAGTGACGTAGAACCTTCTAGATGAGAGATCCCTTCCATTTAATGAAATTGGAAAACAAAGGAATATAGATAAACATGGGAACAGGAGCTATCTAGAAAGTGGCCTTCAAAAAAGTCGTATCCTAGCTATGGTAAACAAAGTACGGCGTCTTGTGACAAATGAAAATCCATGAACACAAATATCAGTGTAAAAAGATCTCCAAGTATTACAATCAATAGTAAAAAACATACAAGAAGCATCTTCATCTGAAAAATGACATATGTTATGTGAGCACACGATGTTTCCATGAAATATTCATTAAACTGTCAAATATGTATCTTAGCAGCCAAAGAATAAAATGAAAATTCATGCTATTCCATACAAAAACATACTAGTCAAGTCGTCAGATGTAGTGCTTATAGATTTCTGTGCAACCAGACTATGAACGTATGTGCTGGGAAACCATCGTCTTTGTATGTGAAATGGATTACGGGAAGCAAACAAGGAGAAGTAGTGTGCAATAGACATGACAAGTTTATGATGGAGCATTTTGGAATGGAAAGTATACGGCTATGCTATTGTCAAGATACACATTCTTTAATAAAGAGGAACATCGCTAGACGCGGCGACATGGACTGTAATGACGTTGTGAGACCCCAGGATCATTTTGATATAAAATACTTAACCTTTATAGAACCTAAACCACACTAAGGGGAAAACGTGATGTAAGAATTGTCACTATTAATATTGGTGAAAGAATAACTGGCAGTTTTGGTAACTGTGATGTTCGAAGGTTATGTGACTTAGTCATGAAGGGTGAAATCATGGCACGATTGCTTATTCAGTAATATCCTCTAAGTATCTAAATAATTTGGTATATAAGTTTATCAATCAAACAGTTCGGAATCAATACTTAACAAAAAACAACAAGTACTCTATGTTTTATTTTATCTTGTAATGTTGTAATACAAATTTTGTCTGGAAACATAACTTAGATTTACTTATAAACTAAGATATGATTGTATATATTTGTTCTGACTAATATTTATATTTGTATTATATTTGTATATATTTGTTTAAGTTGTATTAGGAGGCAGAATGTAACTGTGAACAGGTTATAAGACTTTCATGTTTAGAAGCTATGGTCACTACTATGTAAGGTAGTTGGTATGATTTCAGTTACAAATGTGTCTTCTTGCAGTCCTATTGTCATTCTCCCATTGGATTGTGCCTTTGTCTCTATGACAAACAGACAATGGTGCAAGAATTCACGTGTAT